GAGGCGGAAGAGGCAGGAAGCGGCCCGAACCGCTCTCCATAGAAACCCGCGGCCGTGATTAAAGTCTGATGCGGGCCCGATAGCGGGGGGAGGGAAGGGGGGGCAGCGCCCGCTTTAATTACAGCGGAGGAAATTGCTGGAGCCGGGGCCCCAGCCCCTGCGAGTTGCCTGGAAACTCCCCCTTCCCCCGCCTCCCCCGGCCCCTGCCCGTCCCCTGCCCGTCCCGCTGCCATTTATTCGCCATCAGCTGCTCCCTGATAAAGTGGAATAATAATAATAATAATAGGGGCAGGAATATTAAAACATGCAGCCCGCGGGCCGCCCCCACAGCTGCCATGAGACACGGCACCGGAGCGGTGCCACTGCTGCTCAACATGTACCTGCCAGGTACGGGCGGATCCCTCGGCCGCTGCCCCACCGCAGCGCCGTGCCCCGCACAGCGCCCAGCCCCTGCCCACCCTGTCCCGCTGAGGCCCTGGGGCTCTCCTCTGCCCCATCTCCTTCCAGCGCCCACCCTGTTATTCCCTCTCTCGCTGTCCATTCTCTCTTCCTGCCTTCCAGCACCACAACCATCCCTTCCTTCGTCCTTTCAGCTGCCCTCACAGCTTTCCACACCCGCACACTCATCTTCCCATCCTTAATCCACCCACCTTCACCCTCTCCTTCCATCTTTTCGTCCACCCTTCTTTTCTTCCAACCCATCTTTCCATCCACCCACCCTTTCCCTGTGCTTCCATCCATTCTTCCACCCCACCCACTTGTCCCTGCATCCCCCTTTCCATCCCTGGTACCAGCCAACCCCTCCATCCACCCAACGTCCCTTCCATCAGCCTGTTTTTCCATCATCTTATCCATTACCTGCCCTTCCATCCATCGATCTCTTGCACTTTCCTCCACCTACCCACTCACCATCATCTCTTCCGTCCTTCCATCCATTCACCCATTTCCTTCCTTCTATCCATCTGTCCGTTTATCTCTCCTTTCCACAGCAGTCCACTCCCCAAATGCCGACAGACATCCTCGCTGCCACCCGCCGCTCCTGTCACCCATCCTGCCACCCACCAGCCTCCTCTCCCCCTGCCCCACACCTCTCTCCCTCACTCCCTTTCTCCTCCCTACCCCAGCCCACGGGATCGTCTATTCCTATTTAAAAGCTTCTCCGGCTGGGTCGGAAATCGGATTTCCTTTTTCCTGGACGCGTTTCCTGGCTTCGCCGCAGCGGNAGGGGTGGGCTGTGGGGAGCATTGCAAAGTCGCGGGTCCTTATTGCCCCGCCTGGGGTGGGAGGAGAGCACTGGAGTGGGGAGTGGGGAGCAGACTCCTTCTTGCAACTGGAGGGACCTGCAGCTGCTTCCAGCTGGGCGTTCCAATGTCCGGGCTCCATCCCCAGTAGCCCCACAGTCCTGGAACCTCATCTCCTAGATCCCCCTCAGACCCACAGCCCAGTCCCTGTTCCCCCATGGACGTGGGCCCCTATTTCCTGGATTTATCATATACCCTGCCTTCCTCATCCTCTGGGTCTGCCCCAGCTCCCCCATGACCCTGGGGTCACATCACTCAGGTCCCCAAAGCTCCACATGGGCACAGGGCTTGCCAGCTCTTAGGATATGATATTCCCTGTCCTTCTGCACACTTCTGACCCCAGATCACTCAAAGACCCCAGTCCCTTCACATCCCACTTTAAGCCCCCTACCACTGGCTTTCCCAGGGACCCAGGAATCTCCATCCCCAGTGCCTTCCAAAGCACCTCCTTCTCCAGCTCCAGCAGCCCTTAACCTATTTCTGATTCTGATCCCTGCTGCACTCCCTTTCCACTCTGGGCTGATGCAATGACCCTCAGCCCAGGCCCCCCTCCATGCCCTCCACTGTGCAGTTTGCTCTAGGAGTGTCATGGTCTCCCCTTGGGCTGCCAGAAGAAGACGGGTGGTGGGTCAGGCACGCCCTCACCTCACCCCGCTGTCTCCGGGGCTTGTTTTCTGTTGCCTGCGGTTTGTTTCAGTGACTCAGGCAGCGAAAGCAAGTCTGGGAGGCTGTGGAGCCACTGCGGGGAGAGCTGCACCTTGGGGGCTGGGCAGGAGAGGGATGCAGGGAGCAGCCAGGGCTGCTGGGCTGTACAGATCTGGACACCCCCCGAGAGGTTCAGGGGAGCTCAGGAGACAAGCCGGAGGAAGAGAAGCTTTTTAAGGGCTGTTACCTCCAAACAGGATTGCTGGGGAATTGCTGGGGAATACCATGGTCTCTGCTCATGTCTCCCCTTGCCAGCATCTGCTCTTTGTCCATGATGGAGATGGGCAGCAGAGGTGGAGCACATGGAGCAGAGGTGGAGCTCGGTAACCAAGGGACCCCCTGTTTCCTAAGCCTTTTGGACATCCCCTGTCAAGAGGAGAGGAGACACCAACTCTGTTGGGCTGTGCCACCCTGATTGAGCATCGCTCCCCTTGGGCTGCAGCTTCTTACACAGGGCAGGCACTGTAAATAAAAACTGCAAGTCTGGCATGGCTGTATCCTGATTTCCATTAGGTCCATATCTTGTAATGATCACTTTCCAAAAAGGCAGCTAAATCCAGCATGAGAGCTCATCCTTTTGCCAGATATCAGTGAAACACTGCAGAAGAAGTTGTGAGCTTGGCTCTACAATGTTGGACTCGTGGAGGAGAACTGGTGACAGCTGCTGGCACACTGCCTGGCTGCCTCAAGCTGTGGGATCCTGTGGGGGGTCCACTCCTGACCTGGGGGACAGAGACTGACAGCACTCCACAAGTGCATATAACAGCTGGGGCCATGGGTGACAGGGAAAAACCTGGCCAACTGTGTCTTTTTGGAGCTGGTATCACATTTCTCCGTCAAAAGTTTCTCCATTATATGTCCTCCTGTCTTCAGAATGTACCCAGCTCTGCTCAGGACAAGCAGATGAAGATGGGGCCATCCTGGTTTGTGTGGGTGTTGGGGGTTACCCAGGTACATGGATCCTAATAAAGATGTGCAGCAGGTTGGGACAGGGCTGGGTGCTGTGGGATGGTCACAGGCTTACTGTCCCTGGGGCAGGGACTATTCAGGAGAGCACAGAGGAGCCAGGGAGGGGGCAGAGCTGTGGGATGACCTGGTGCCACCAACTGCTGAAGACACATTTACCCACCCCAAACTCTGGGCACAGCAAAGGAACTCTATGACCATTGCCCTGGAAGTGGAGGGCCCTGGTGGGGACTCCCCTGGCCCATCCCAGGACTCTGAACTGCAAGGAGCCCCCAGGACCGTGCTGGTGATGCTGGAGCTGGGGAAGGGGCAGACATGGACCCCCAGGGCCAGCCACAGGGCGGCTC